TTTTATGATAATAACACCCAATTGCATGCTATGAAACATATATTGATTAGAATATGTGAGGGGAAAGAGTGTTGAATGACTGGCATACAATTAGGAAAGGAGGAATGAGATTTGGGGAAAAAAAGGTCAGTATATTATTAAAAAAGGTCAAAAATAGCTTCAGATTCAGGGTGATATCACAAAACACTTGTTTTCTACTTATTTATTTAGAAATTAATTATATACCCCTTGTAACATTATGTATATTATTGTGTATTATTATTAAGGATAAAAATTATTTTCAATCTGTTTAAAGTTGCTCAAATAAGAAATGGTCCTGTGTAGGGCAGGTAGGTGGCACAGTGGGTAGAGCACCGGCCCTGAAGTCAGGAGGACCTGAGTTCAAATTTGGCCTCAGAGCAAACACTTGATACTAGTTATGTGACCCTGGGCAAGTCGCTTAACCCCAATTGCCTAAAAAACAATAACAAAAATAAGAAATGGTCCTGGGGCAAGTTGTTATCCTGGTGTTATTCTTTCACATTTAATGTTCTGTGGACTGTCACACAGGTGCGTCAAATAACTACCTTTTGTATTTAAATAAAACTCTTAGAATTAATATAATCTCATCTTTAGAAGGCTCACTTAAAGCATCTTTAGTACAACTCCAGTAAGAGATAAGAAAACAGGGATGATATGTACCTACCACTAGGTTTTGATTTCTTCTAGGTCTCTGTATTTTTAAAGCTCTTGGTTTCATGCAGTTTGGAAATTGTGAATATTAGAATATTATGGCCATGTGTGTTAAAATGTCCTTAAGTTTTTATGGATCAATGTTGTTTATATCCAAGTGATTGTGGGCAGCAAGAAGTTCAGTCTGTGATAATGTTTCAATTCCCAATATAGTTTAGAGGTTTCCTTTTCTTCCTACTTGTCTGACTTCTTCTCAGTCTCCTTTGCTAGTTCATCATTTGTATCATGCTTCCTAACTGTAGATATTTCCCAAAGTTCTATCTTGGGCCTTTCTTTACATTTTCTCTAGGTAAAATGTTAGTGTTCATGGGCTTAATTGTCATTTCTATGCAGATGCCTCTCCAATCTATATATACAACTGTAGCCTTTCTTTTCTGAGCTCTAGTCGTGCATTATCACCTGCCTATTGGATATTTCAAACTGAATGTCTTATAGTCATCTCAGACTCAGTATGTCCAAAGCTGAAATCATTGTCTTTTGCCCCAAACCCACTTTTCTTCTGAGCATCCTCTGAGCATCAACATATTTCCAGTCACTTAGGTATGACCTGAACCAAAGTAAAATGTAATTTGAAAATATCTACCAAAATTTAGTAAAATATAGATAAAGTTTGTTTCATTTCCTAAGTCAATATGTGAACTCCAGGGATCCTTCTGTATGATTTAGTTGCCCCCATTTCTATTTGAATTTGACACCACTACCTTTACAGTGGGATCATACTATGAGAAGCAATGTGGATCTGAACTACAATGGCATCTATTTGAATAGAGAAAGGGTACAGATGTGAGAGAATTTATAGAGGCAGGTTTTTGTTTTTGTTTTTGTTTTTGTTTTTTCTTCCCTTCCTACCCCTCCTCCCCTAGAATTGAAAAGAATGACCAAAACAGACCAAAACCCCAAGTCTGTTTCTTTGGGTCACAGGCCCTAAGGGAATGATTAAGTATCCTTTCCCCTCACCCACCTTAATTCATTTATGGAAGAGGAAATTTGTGCCCAGAGAGATTCCTCTTTCCTCTTCCTTTAAAAATAATGAAATAACTCTTTCCTCTGTTCTTTGCTAGGCATAATTTCAATGAAATATAGTACTTCTTATATAAATTCAAAAACACCCTTCTTTTTAGAGTTTCTTCTTACAAAGCCATCATTATACCAGAGCAACTTAAGGGAGTTTTTTAAAAAGTTAAAATATTTCATGATAATAACACCCAATTGCATGCTATGAAATTTATATATTGATTAGAGTATGTGAGGGGAAAGAGTGTTGAATGACTGGCATACAATTAGGAAGAGAAGAATGAGATTCAAGAAAAAAAAAAAGGTCAGTATACTATAAAACCAAATATTAACTATCATTTTTATTGTACTTTTGCTTATTTTGTTAAATATTTCCCAATTACCTTTTAATCTGGTTCAGGCCACACTTGGGACTATTATGGGCTGCCTGAAGCTTGCAGGTAGTGTATTTGACATCTTTGCTTTTCTCTTCCTATTCTATGGACCCTTTCACAGGTGGCCAAAATAACTGCCTAAGGATGTAAACTCATCTCTATGCATTCACTGAAAGCATCCTGGGTCCAACATGAATAAGAAAGAAGAATTGCAGAGAAGATATGTACCTGATTCTGTTCCTACATACTTTTGATCCCTCTGCTGGGTCTTTATATTGCAAATGAATCACTTCAAATTAAAGGTTAGGTGTAAGCTCCTTAATTGTATAGATAATTGGATTGTGAAATATGGAAATTTCTTTTGCACTTTCATTGAGGTCTGAAAAATGCTCAAATTGTAGTTTGAGTTAAAAAAAAAGTATAACTGCTGCAAATTTGTGTGGGAATGGAGATGTCATTTCTCGTGTTAACTTTTGACAACACAGGAAGTATATAAAACAGCTTGACCTTACTTGTGATTCAAATAATGTTAGTTGTCATTGAATGGACTTTACCACAATATAAGTTTTATATATAAGGCTGTTTTGCCTTGTAATTTCAGGTTGAATTTGTTAAGAAACATTAGCAAGTTAGCAGTTAAAAACTAATTTCCAAAGCCATTCAGTGTTCAGTAATTATAGTTGAGGGTGGTTCTTATTGTTCAGAAAATTTCAATGTCAAAATATCATAATAAAACATTCCCCCCTCTTCTTTTCTTGTTTTGAATATGCAATGGTACTTTTAAAAAATATTGTAATATGGCAATAGTGTGGTATTCAAAACTCTATTGAGTTATAACCATGTTTCTGTAATTTGTAGTGTACTGAGCAGTAGTGGGAAGTGATGAGAGCTCCATGTGTTTCTATCTCAACTACTCCACTTTGCCATGGTAGTGCAAGAGCAACCAGAGATAATATCTAAATGAATGAGTGTGGCTGTATTCCAATAAAGCTTTATTTAAAAATGTAAAAACCATTCGTACCTTGTGGGGCAGTTAAAGGCAGTGGGTAGAATTGGGACTACAGGCTACAGTTTGCCAGCCGTTGTTCTAGAGTTTCAAGTCACCTCTTTTGACATAACTATTCTGTCTTTCCTTAATGTTGTGCAAGGTTTCTATTTCTCAGTTGATCCAACTTGTATTTTCATTGTGTTATTCTTCTCATAACTATATAAACAATTAGAAATGTCATTTTCTTTCTCTGAGATTCCTTCTTACCTCTGATTTACTTACATTTTAAGCTTCTTCAGTAAACTTTTTGTTGATATTGAATTATTTATTTTGTTCTTCATGCTGCTTTGATTCCCTGTATTACTTTATCCTTTTGACTTTTAAATTTATTTGATGAATAAGTGAATGTAGAACTTCTGATATACCTTTGTTTCTGGATTCTTTTTTGCACATTTCTTTTTTTGTGGCCTTTAATTAGGCAAAGTGGCTATATGTACTAGTTAGATATTAAAGTAATTTTCCAATGCCCTTCCACAGTTCTTCAATAATTCTCCCATCAATTTAATGCTTATCTTTGGTGGTATTCCTTGATAGTTCTACCTTTCCTTGAATGGTTCATACCTTAACAATGGCTGCTACATATGTTATGGTATGCAGGTTCTCGAATTATTTTATGCTTTCTTCCAACTGCTGTGAGAAAATGTATTTGTTCATAATGGTTATAGCAGATATCAGCTATACTGACCTACTCAGTTTTGGTAAAATTTGTTTGCTAGTTGAACTTATGCCATTGTAGTCAAATAGAGTTTTTCAAAATTCTAGTCAAGGTTTTCCCATTTCCTTTTCAAAATTTGTTTTATCAGGAAACTCAGCCTCATGTAGATTGCTTCAGCTTTGACACTTATACTTCCTTAATACCCTTAGTTTTTCTCTGCCCCTCTGAAGAAGGGGCTGATACCTGAGGGAGAAGCAAAACAAATTCCTCCTAAAGTCTTCCTCTAAAGAGGGCTCAGAAGCCCAGTCAACTCTTCATTTCTCACCGTCTGAACCACTGGTTTCAATTCCACCATCATCCCTCATCTCGTCCCCCACTTCACCTTCTTTTTGTGTTGTTTTCCCAATTAGATTGTAAACTCCTTGAAGATAAGGATTATCTTTTTTGTTGTTATTGTTCTTATTTGTATCTCTAGTACTTAGCACAGTGTAAGGCACATAGCAGATCCTTAATAAATGTGTATTGTGTTGTATCATATTGTATTGTGTTGTATTGATTGTACTGCAGTGCATTGCATTGCATTATTTTGCATTGTATTGCACTATATTGTTTTGCATTGTAACTTTTTAATCTGTTTCATTACTAGATTGAATTTCTGGTATTCACATTAAGCAAAGATGTTCAGTTATCTTAAGGAGTATCATTAATTTTTCTCTCTTTAGATTTTAGTAGTGCTTCAGTTTCATTTCTTATTTTTGTCTGATTTAGCATAAGGAAGATGTCGTTCTTTATAACTGTCCTTTATTAATCAGTAGTACATTATTGTGTGATTTGGAGCTAAGAGTACTTTTGACAAAAATATATCCTATAAACTATGAGATCTGTTTCCGCCTTTGTTATGACATGGTACAGATGAATGTTAAAAGTATTCATGTCTTCAGTCTATTTCATGTGCGTTCATTGTTTGTGACTTTAGTGGTCCATGTCATTTGTACTGAAGCATTTCCAAAGCAGGTGTAGTATTCATATTTCTGACCTTTTCTTATATATCTTGCATTTTTGTGGTACCTGAACACATAGGAGTATAACTATTCCACTCTCCTTTCTGGCGAATTGATCATCATAAGAATTTAATAAGGCCAGTCTGTAATTCTGTGCTGACTTATCTATTTCTTAGATTCACAGGAGCAGTTTAATCACATTGGCTGGAATCCTTACCTAATCAGGAGTATCACTAGAGCCCAAGTCACCAGCATTTCAAAGTTCCTACCAAGAATTCACAGCAACTGTAAGTTTCAGAACATGTATAATACCACTATATAACACTCTGACTGGAATTCTCTTACTTTGTCATTGCGTTCCCACTCCATCCACACCCATTACATGGATAATGGGTTGGACTTTGAGGAGCTATCATTATTTTTATTATTTTGCTCTGACCTGTGATTTCATCAATATGGAGAACTGCCTATAAGGAACTTTCTTTATCAAAACAATGAATTGCCTACAACATTGAAAGGTTATATATGTGATTTGCCCAAGGTCATACAGACAGTATATGTTTGAGGCTGGACTTGAACCCAAGACTTATTAACTCCATGGCCATTTCTCTATCCACTTCTTTATCATTATTGTTCTTTTTAATGTTATTCTTGTTCTTCTTTTAGAAAAAGTTTTGTTGATGTGTTTTTTTTTATTTTTACATTATAAACATTTGCAGATGACTACCACTTTGTGAGAGATCTCATAACAAAGTAAAACAGTTAAATAAAACTATTAATAGAATGACATCATCTGAAAGTATATGTAACATTTCACATCAGTAACATTCCACATCTCCAGTTTTTGAAAATTAACAGAAATCTATTTCTTTCCCTCCCTTTCCCTCATAAAATTTTAGAGCTGGAATTGACTTTAGAAATCATCTAATACCTTTATTTTATAGCAGAGAAAACTGAGCCACCCATAATATAGGTGATTTGCCCTACCCCACTGGGGTGAGTGAAAGGGAAAGAAAGAAAAACAATTATTACATTGCAAAGAAAAACATATATGCATAGTCAAAAAATTATTTTTCTCAATGATATATATGTCTCATTCTCTACCTCACATCTAATGTACAGCATGTTTTAGTCCTCTAGAATCATAAATCATCATTGTGTTGACATATTCTTGTTCTTATTATTTAGTTTTTCATATATTTATACTTTGATTTCCCAACTAGATTGTAGACCCTTTAATGGTAGAAACACTATATATGTTTCTTTTTATCCTTTTCTTCTCCTCAATATACCCATCACTGAGGCCCTAAGATAGTGTCTTACTTTCTGATTGATCAGATACTTCCAGGTTCCCCCTTGACCTTACCCACTGGAACGGATACGTCTCTCAGCCTCTTTTAAGGATGCCTTATGAAATATATAATTGTCATTCTACCTCCCCTCCAGAATGATGGCTTTCACCTACTCTCATGGATGGTGGTGGGATAAGTAGGAAAGGCCCTCAGAGACGTAAAAGGAGTAGTGTTAACCTCTGATAAACTGAGTATCAGACTCTCAACTTCTTTCTAAGGGAGATGTATCATAGAGTTAATGACAAATGTAATCTGAATGAGGAAGTTCTTGTCATTTACCTGAGGCAGCATCCAGTGCCAATATCCATAGGCACATGTTTAGTCTGTATAACTACATCAAGAAAAAAAATCTTTGCGGTTATACAAATATAAAATGAAATATTTAGTCTTCTCCATCCCCTAAATTTATTTCTAAACTCTTTCTTGATAATGTACTCACCTTTCTTCATTTCTAGTAAAGAAAATTCCTGTGAAATACAATGAAGTCTATATTATAGCATGGAATTATATCTTTTCCCTGAAGCAATCAAAATGATTTGACAATCATTATTTCATCTTATCTTATAACAACCCTGTGAAACACAATTTTGTATATGAAAAAACAGAGGCATGGGACTGTGGTCACATAGAGAATTAATGGTAGAAGCCAGATTTTCTGACTTTTAACCCCGGACTGAGTCAGATTATGTTGAAGTTGCAGAGCCATAAAACTGTCTTCTTTGTAGTATTGAAAGAGAAATATCATCTCCCCCTACACGTTCTGAATTTCCAGATCTATGATAATCATCCGTAATAAAAAGAAAAAAAGGAAAAAAACCTACTTTCTCTCAAGAACTTATTTGAAAAGAACATTTTGCAGGAAATGTGTAAAGGTGATTCCATTCAACCATTGCTTCTTTTCAGCAACTTCTGTATAAAATAGTCTAAAATGAGATGACATCAGGCTCAGTGTTACACCTATTTTGATTTCACTCAAATATTTGCCAAACATCTCAGTGCTTCTGGACCCTAGATCAATCATTTGAAGCTGGTCGACTGAAGCTTTGTAAACATTGGAAGCATCATCAACACCATGCCCATCTGTCGTTGCTTTTTCATTATGAAGCATATATCGCCTGCATTCATATATAGAAATGTCTCATGCCTATGGTAAAAACTAATGTATAGTCCCCTGCCCAGCTGTGTAGTTCAAATCTGCTGGATAAATTAATAATTGCAACAAAAGAATTTTTAAAAGGAGTCTCAATGGCCAAAGGAGTAGTTGAGTAAGTTATTTTACTTAAATAGAAAATACAGACCCCTCTGGAGTCTAATGATTGGTTAGAATTTTCCAGGGCTGCACTCATGGAGAAACTAGCCTTGGGAAACAAATTCAGACTGGTTGGAAAAAAGTTAATTCTATTTGAGGGAATAATTAGAATTACATAGCATAATATCACAATTATTGCTATTTTATCCTTAAGCTTTTTTTTGAGCAACACATAGCTCTTTCTGCATTCACTATTCTATTCTTATTCTCCCTGAAAATTTCTGGGTGGTGGTAGGATTTATTGAATCATAAAGTCATAAAATTTTAGGGCTGTAAGAGACTTTAGAAATCATCTAATACCTTTATTTAATAGCAGAGAAAACTGAGCCACCCATAATGTAAGTGATTTGCCCAACATTATGCTGTTTGTAGCAGAGTCAGAATTAGAACTCAGATCTCCTGACTCTTAGTACACTGTGTTTTTTCTAGTTCCTTCTCCTAGTTAATTGTCATGATTTGTCTTTTCTCTCTACAATTTGCCAAGATATCCAGAATGGAGAGGAGCAAGGAGAGTGGTGTTACTTCCCCTTTCAACTCAATTCCATTCATCTCTACGCTCCTCCCCTAGACACACATGCTAGGCTCTCCCAACTTTCACTTCCCACCTACCCATAATCATAAATGACTACAAGATTTGGGTGATCTCAGTGTAAAGGGGTCTGGTGCGAGTCCTGAGTGTTTCAGATGGAATCTATCTGTGTGGAAGAGGACCAACTTGAAATGGCAGGGGATGGAAATGCCTTGGAGACAATGTAGAACATATCTTTTTGTAAATAGTTCTGGTCAGCTAAACACATGTTAATGAGCAGGTTCGTTGATTGACCATGGAGGCATTCAAAAAGGCCTGTCAACTTTAGCCACTTCCTTTTTGCCTTGTTTGGTGACTCCTTTATTCATTGTATTTGTTGAGAGACCATACTGTAAGGAAAGAAGCATAGGACCTTCTCCTTTCTGTGGCTATGGTCCGGTAAAATGGGCTATACTTCTTGCCCGCTGCATTTTTTTCTTTTCTATTCTAAGTAACTGGAGTGGAATCTCTATGACTTTTGCTGTGTTAGCATTCTAGGCCAGGTTTTACAGCCAGCCCAATATCAATGCCATAGAAGCAAGGAGCAGCCTTATAGATCTAGGCCGGCAGAAACTGAGATGAAGACTAGTCTGGCAACCGTGCCATATCTAGACATGAACTTTGTGGGACCGGTCTCTTGTAGGTGAGCTAAATTAAACTTCTCCCTGGACACCACAGTCATATAGGGGAGAATATATCCCTAAGATTTTGGAGGAAATCTTTGTATGTTTGTTTTTGCTACATAACTGTGAAATAAAAATCTCATTATAAAGTTATTTGATATTAGATCATTAAATGGAACTGGGACACTAGTCATTGGCTCCTACCAATGATAGGGAACACAGCTGTGGGGGCTCAAACAGAGCCAACTGTACCAATCTTCTGGGTATCCTAACATGCTAAAAGGGAGATAGAGCCAATCTGGCTCTGGGAAAGTGAACAGGAAGTACAATCCTCATCAAGAATTTGGGAAAAAGACAACTTCTTCCTAAAAAAAAAAAGTTCAGGTTGACCTGGCCTGGGATAATTCAAAGTCCAGCTATTAGAATGAGAGATTTGTAATTGCTACAGTTTGTATATGAAAGAGCTAGGTGCAATATACCATCATAAGATTATAAAGTTATTAATTTAAAGATTTTCAAGATTATCTAGTCCAATCAATCAATAAACATTTATTAAGCTCCTACTAAGTGCCAGGCATTGTGTTAAGCACTGGGGATACAAAAAGAAGCAAAAGACAGTCCCTGCCCTCAAGGAGTTTACAATCTAATGAGGAAGACAACATGCAAGCGTGTGTGTGTGTGTGTGTGTGTGTGTGTGTGTACACACACAAAGCAAACTATATAAGCTCTAGGAAAGTTATATAAGACTAATAGGAAATAATTAAAAGAGAGAAAGCACTGAAATTTAAAAAGGTTAGGGAAGCATTCCTGTAGAAAGTGGGATTGTAGTTGGGAATTAAAAGCAAGTCATGGATGTCAATAATGAGAGTGGAGGAGGGAGAACACTCCAGACATGGGGAACAGCTAGAAAAAAATGACTGGAGCCAAGAAATGGAGTGTCTTATCAGTAGAACAGCCAGGAGGCTAGTGTCGCTGATGGGAAAAGTACATATTGGGAAGTAAGAAGAAAGAAAACTGGAAAGGTAGAAGGTGTCTAGGTTATAAAGGGCTTTGAAAACCAAGCAGAGCATTTTGTATTTGTTCCTGGAGTCAATAAGAAGCCACTGGACTATATGTAATAATTAGACCTGCATTTTAGGGAATTCACTTTAGTGGTTGAATGGATAGTGGCTTGGCTTGGGAAGAGATTTGAGGCAGGTACATCTACCAGCAGGCTATTGTGTTAATCAAGGTGTGAAGTGTTGAGAATTTGCACTAAAATGCAGAAGTATCAGAGATGAGATGGGAGTGTATTGGAGAGATGCCACAAAGGTGAAATCAGCAAGCCTTGGCAGCCATTTATATGTGGGATGAAAGATAGTGAGTAATCCAGGATGACTCCTGGGTTGTAAGCCTGAGGGTCTAGAGGGATGGGGCTGTCCTCTAAAGTAATAGG